CTACCTCTTTTCTTTTTTTTATAAGTACAATTTATTTATAAATGAGAACAAATTAGCAGTGCACAGTATCTCAGAGGTTGAGAAAGATGACACTAAAAGTACTGAGTACAGTCTTTTATATTTCTTCCAATTCACTTTTAATTATAAAGATGTGAATTCACTTCAACAACCTAAAAATATTTACGTATTAAACTACATTGATACTTCCATAAACAATACAAAAAAGATGAGACAAACATGTGCATTTATAGAACTGCTATCAGTTCCTGTGCGGGGAATTCCCAGCACGACCTCATTCATCTCTAAGGGCATAGAGCAATTCTGGCTTAGACATACACATTCATCTACTCGTCCGGCCTAGTCAGCCTTTTCTCCTTGATGGCTTCCTTCTGCTATGAATGTGCATGTCCAGTTGTCTGCTTTTTAGAGCAGACATTTACCTTCCTCATCCACCAGCCATTGGAGGAAGACTAGGGCCACGAAGATGATTAATTCTGCCCTTTCTTCTGGGGGGAATTTCCTAGTAGCCCTCTTCCAACATCATATCTGGACTCAGATGAGTTTCCATAGCCTCTTCTCTTTTTCATATCTTGCTGAAGTAGAGTTTTGAAGAATAAAACCACAAACTCAGCTATTCCCCAGAAGAAATCTGTTATCAAAAATAATCTCCATGGGGACTGCTTCTGACTGTCCAACGCTTGCCCATTTGAGATTTAACCCATTTTGCTTCTTTTCCCTGTCTCCTGAGAGACGGGGTCTTGGCCCTTCTTGGCTTCTATATCTCCTTCCATGCCTGGCCCTTTAATGCCTGGCTGGCTACCTCTAAGCAGAGGTACAAAAAATGAAATGCTAACTAAAACCTCTCCATTGCGAAAGTGGCTTTGGACTGAAAGGTCTTGCAGTAGACCCGGAAAGGGAAAGTGTAGACAGTCGCACAGGTAACCCCCCCAAGAGACAGACCTCCTGACATCATACTCTCCTTAACTCTGGATGGCTCTTTCCTACGTGAACCCATAGAATAAAGCAGAAGTATGACTCAAAATGCTACTTTATACATTTGCTGGGAAGGGTTGTGAGGACCATTTGCAGTAATTACAATGACAGTATTTCTTCCCAGCTAGGGTACAGTAAGATAGCATTTACAAAGTTTCCCAAAAATGTTCTAGTCCCAGGGAGGCTGTTCCTTTCCTGTGAATGTTATTCTCAAAGCAATTCTAGAATGGAAAACTGATTTGGCTGTTAGCCATTTTGATTTTTGTTATTTTTTTAAGATTTATTTTTGCATAGAAAAACTAGGGTGTAAGTCAGAGGTGCAGGGGGATGAGAGGATTCACCAGAAACAGAGTGGGCAGCGAAACAGACAGATCTACTGAAATAAACTGTTGAGGGGAGCAGCTAGTGGGTCACCTCCCTGGCTGCCAATCAAACTCGTGCTGCAGTGGCTGCCAATAGCTTGCTAGCACTGACCCCTTAATCCCTGCACCACCAGGGAGCCCCATCAGCCATTTTAGAATGTCATTTCCCTCTCTGTCTTGAACTGACGTCTGTTTTCACTCACTCCTCAAATCAGGCTGATCAGTGAAAGAAACAAGCATGCCCTCTCAATAGAAAAACAGGTATTATCTGCTGATTTGTATCTACTGTACTTTGCAGTAAACTTCAGTCTAAGGGACGGAACCATTATATATTCTTTTGAAAGTTTCCATTTCTTATCGAAATGGTGGTGGTAATGATTTTAAATGTTGCCCGAAGCTGGGGGCTTCACAAAAAGTGAAAAAAAGCCAAGAAGTCTCAAACACACAGGGATAATGAGGTAGCGACCCTACTTCTAGAGGTCATTACCACATCTAATTCACCTATGCCCCGCCCCAGATTGCAGCTACAGAAACTGCAGAATGGGTGCCCAACCCTTGCTTCACAAATTGCCCCTGCACCCTGTAAAGTTCAAGCAGGTGGTCTGGAAAACAAGTTTCACTATCATTTGCATTTTCTAGGAAGGGTTGTGAGGACCATTTACAGTAATTACACGTTAGACTAGTGGAGGTTGTTTTCATAGCAGCAGTTATAAAAGGGAAAAATAAAAACTTGCTGGATGGTCTCTAGCATGGTTGTGCAGAGGGAAATTCTGTGCAGCAAGCACTGCAATCCAGTAACCAGAATGGACAGCATCTCACCTGTGACAAAGAAAGCCCAGCACTTCCCCCAAATCTTTGTCATAACACTGCTTTAGCTGGCTTCTTGTGTCACTTGTTTCTCCCCAGACCTGAGAGCTTCTCAGAGACAAGAACTGGTAGATTTCAATTACAAATGTTTATTAAATACATTAAACATGCCAGATAGCATTCTCTGCTGAAAGATAAACTCTTTTGATTCTCCTGTCTCCCTTATCACATGGGTGGTTTTTATTCCCATTTTACAAATAGGACACTAGGGGCAAAACTGTGGTTCAGGGGCCCTCTCTCATGCCACAACAGGTCAAAGTGCAGTACTATGAAGCTACTGCAGCATGAGTTCGATTCCTGGCCAGGGAAGTGATCCACATGGCTCAGCAGAACTCTCCTGTCTCACCCACTGCTCCCCTCAGCAGTGTGTTTCAGTACACCTGCCTGTTCTGCTCCCCAGTGTGTCTCTGGTGAATCCTCTCCCCACCAGCAAATCTGGCCTGTACCCCAGTTCTGTATGCATAAATAGATAAATCTTAAAAAAAAAAGTGGTTCAATAACTTGCCAAGTTAGTAAGCCACAGAGTTGATCTGAATCCAGCAATGTGGTTCCAGAGTGTATCTCAACTACGACCCAATCCTGCCTGCCCTTATGTACTATTGTGTCCACAGCACGTAGCCCTCTCCCTGGCATGAGACTCTATATTTATTGAAGAATGAATGAGTGCCAGTCATATGTCCAGTAGAACTCTTGAAGAGTTCTAATTTTAAACACTCGGACATGTTTTCAAAACATGTAGTAAAATAGGCATCAGAATCTACATTCCAAATTTAGGGGTGTGAAAAAGTGGCTCGGTTCCCGTACAACTGTCACTCCCACACACCTGCTCACAGCACCAGCAGACTGTCTAGCTGGGTGAAAGATGACGAGCCAGAGGCAGAGGGGGATTGAGGGCAGTTAGAGAAGGGCAGTGGGAAGCTGCCTGGCAAACTTGCCCACCACAGAGAGGCCTGCTCCATTCAGGTCAGTGAAACTCCAGCCCTCTCTTCTGTAGCTTTCAAGGTCCTGTGCCTTCAGGTAAAGTCCGAGTGTTTCCTTATCTCTGCTCTCTCCAGAAGGTGAAGTGGTTTCTACTTTTTTTTTTTTAAAGGTTTATTTATTTGTGCATACAGAACTGGGGTACAGGCCAGAGATGCGGAGGGTGAGAGGATTCACCAGGGACAGAGTGGGGAGCAGAACAGGCAGATCGACGAAGTACACTGCTGAGGGGAGCAGCGGGCGGGTCAGGAGAGGTCTGCCACACCATGTGGTCACCTTTGTGGCCTGCGGGGATCGAACTCATGTTGAAGTGGCTTTAGCTTCTCAGTGCTGTGCTTTAACCCGCTGCGCCACCAGGGAGGGCCGGTTTCTACTTTTTATTCCCCATCTTCTCACCGAGGTCTTTGAGCCCACATTAACTCTGACTGTATCATTTGTTCAGCTTTATTCACAGAATCTGTGTCTTCAAAGAACCTGAAGGAGTCTTTAAAGAGTTTGCATGTGAAATGTGACTCTCCCAAGATGTGTAGCCATGAACTAGAGACCTATCATTAGCTGATTTCAGGCTTAGTGTGAACTGCTGGTGGCAGAACACAGCGCCACTGCCCCCTCGTGTCTAACTTCTGTCAGGAATTACTGCATGCCAGGAAAGAAACTGGAAAAAATTATCATGGATCTATCTGTCTTAGATTTGTCAGATCAAAAGATTTCTTCACTTCATGGATTTTAAAATAGCAATCTTTCTTCCTCTCCATCTATTTTTTAAAAGAGATGTTTTATTACAATTACCAAAACACAATATGCACCTTGAAGGAGAAATTATCATAATTACTTAATTTTGTTCATGTTTTGATATACATATACCCTATTTTTTTCCTTTCTACATAGAAGGAACTCAAATTTTACTTGAGAACAGATAAAATCAGAAGAGCAATGAAGTCTCATTTGATCATCAATGTCATGTAAACATAATCTCTTCTCACGGTAAGAAAAATGACTATAGGACTTACTAATTGCCTCTTTCTCTCAAACGACATGAAACATGAAGGACAGAACCTTACATCAGAAAAACCCATACCATTTGCCTATGATTTTAATTTTACGGATTGAGGTTACTGAAGTGACTCAAAACCCCCTACCTAGAAAGCACTTCATTCTAAACCAACCCCTGGTCACCTTTATTATTGTTACCTGTATTGTTCATGCTGTGTAGAACTCTAAAACAGGTGCCGTGGCCTACTGACAGCACTACTGACATTTTGGGCTAAAAAAACATCCAGTCCTGTGGCTGCCCCGCACTGCAGGGGGCGCTCCACAGCACAGCTGTCGGCTACCCTCCAGAGGTCACCCTTCAGTCAGGACACCAAAAATACCTCCAAAACATACCGCCCAATGTCTCCTGGGAGAAAAACCACCCCTGGTTGGGAGCCACTGTTCAAGAGGAGGGAATAGCCAAATTCCTGCATGAACCCTAACAGAAAACTGTGTTAAAGGAATTTCAGTTTGGATTCTAGCAACTATGTCCACCTACATGATTCTTTGACTTTACAAGTCAGACTAAAGTTGGTACCAACTAGCTGATGGTTATTTGCCATGTGCGGGAACTGTGCTAGTTACCATATGTAGTTATCATATGTCATTATCCTAGATTCAGGGAAGGGGGAAATTCACCTTTGTCAAAGAGGCAACGAGCCACCCTGAGACTGCTGAGAACAGAGAATCAACAGAGAAGAGCAGTAGTTGAATGCAATGCTGATTTTATTCCAACTCAATAAAGCAACCCACAAGCCATTTAGGCAACAAGATCAAATCAAGGGGCAAAAGCCAAAACACAAGCTTTTTTGTTTTTTTGAAATTACCAATCATTGTACATGGCTTCTTCCACACCTCTTGGAAAATGTGGCTAGCAAATCTCATGCAAAGAAACACAGGAAAAAGGAAAATGAAATTTATCTCATGTGTGGTTGAAGGTGACTGCTTCAGCTCCTTCAGCTCCTCTGCTATAATTTGTTCCATCAGCATGGTCCACTTCGAATGATTTTAATATCATGACCTTCTTCCCTGCAAATTGAACAATCAAAGCACATTGATAAGGCTGCCCATAGCAGAACTGTCCCATTATTTGTATATAAAAGACCTATGCCACTACATCTAGATTCTTTCTAGAGCAACATTTACTTTATTTTGTAAAAATAAACCTCGAGAGGCCTCCCTGGTGGCCCAGGGGTAACTGTCAGGGCTATACCTGCTGTGGCCTGAGTTGGCTCCCTGGCCAAGGAGCTGACCAACATGGTGCAGCAGACCTCTCCTGTCTCTCCTGCTGCTCCCCTGAGCAGTATATCAAGTAAATCTGCTGTTCCCTACTCTGTCTCTGGGCATCCATTCACTCCCACCTTCCCAACTGCCCCTTGGGGTCCACCCCAGTTCTTCTATAGAAAAGTTAAAAAGCAACATTTAAAGGCTATATCTTGAATGTAGGGTTAAATTCCCAACTTTATCTTATTTTCCCTAAAATCCCAAAGAATCACTCTGAAAGGCTAAGGTAACTTACTGAGTCAGAGAACCAGAGAATCTGAAATACAACACAGGCTAGCTGCAGTCTCGTTCACCTGGTCAGGTATGTTACAGGGAGGGCAGCTGACATTAATTAATACACCTTCGTATTCACCCTCTGGAGTTCTTAGACCGATGTCCTGACTGGTGCTGCAGGGCCAACTGTACATGCTCCCTGAAATCCACAGTCCATAGTTCACTAAATACATACTCCAAATATGGGGACCCTGCCTGTCCTCAAAGAGTGGCATGACTTGCCCATCTGGTCTTTAACTGATAATAACACACCTTACTCTGTAACCTTGACAAATGCACTGAAGAATTCTGTCTTTCTAAATATCTGTCCTGCAAACAGAACTACGTATTTAGCCCTCATATGAAGAGAGTCATAAATGCCTAAATAGTTAAAATTCAAGCACTAAAGAAAACTTGACTAATCCACACTGTAAAATCACGTCACCTGATTTTCATGCACAGCGTACACTCGTTGGGATAAGTGGCCATGTCGCTCCCACACACAGGGCTGAAGTCCCTGGGGCAGCCTGGTAGTTTATACTGATCACAGTTTGGCTAGAAAAAAGGAAGGCAAAAGTTAAAAAATAACCTGGAATTTTCTTATCGCAAAATAGCTGACCCGATTTCCCTAGGAAATTCCTAGATTTCCTCAAAACATTGTGCGAAAGTATTTCTATTTCACAAAAATGACTTTTCTAATGCAAAGTAATGCAAGTGTTGAAGCATTGCTTACTAGTAACTAGAAAAGGAACTCAGAGGTAGGTTCATTCTGGCTGATTTTTAAGTGAAAGCACAAGTCACCCCACCATACGGCTTCATAATTTGTACTTCACATCTGTCTCCATGTGGCAGTCTGAGACAAATTTAAGAATCTTACCTTTCAGTCTGGACTTTTCAAATATAACATTTAATCTAAAGAAAGCAACATCTGCACAAGGAAAGCAACAGTTTCAGAGCTGACCCCTAGGAATTATTATTGAGTCATAGGGCAAGCAGCTAGCCTTTAGGGTCAGACTAGGATAGGAAAAGCCTTGGACTAATAAGAGGCTCCAGAGATAAGGGCAACAAATTCCAAAGGAGACCAGCCAAACACCGCAGGACTAGGGGCAGCAAGATATTCTGAAACAAGGATGATAAAGAAAAAAGACTCTAGGATAAAGACTGAGACACAGAGACTCAACTCTGGGCACAGAGACATTACGACAGAGTCATGAGACCACAGAGAACGCACACTGAGAGACTGATGGGGCTTTAGAATTAGGGAAAGAAAGCGCATATTCCCTGAGGCACAACTCCACTTGGGTTTCTTTGCCTCTTCCAGGTACACGCACCTTGCTCACTACAAGGCCACGTGTTTATACATTAATTTTTAGTCTCGTTTTCCTAACTTTCTCTATTAGAACAGGACCCTTTTTTTAAAAAAAAATACACATATATATCTACACATATACATATATCCTAATACATATATGTACCTCTCTCTATATATATATATTTTTTTTACATCATTGCTCATGTCTGTACAGTGTTTGCTTTCTTCTCTCAGGTAGTCCCCCTAGAATTCCTACCCCCAAGTGACCTGCGCCCCCTCGCCATAGTCCCTGTGTCCTTCGCTCCCTTATCGTATGCCTGAGGGCTATAGTTTGCCTGCAAGTTATGTCTTTTTCTTGACCCTTGAGAACCACTGTTTTAAAATACAGTGAGAATTATGTTTCAAAACAATGTTTTATATATATAGTAATATACAATTTTTTAAAATCTTTCCTCAATTATTTATCATTTCACTGACACCTGCTTCAACAGCGTGTTTTTTAGCCATTTGTCTTTTCTTAAGTCTTTTTAAATTATTCAACACAGTTCTCACATAAACTTTGACAATATTTTCACACTCATGTTGTGAAATAAAAGCTACTGATGGAGAATAAAGTCTAGTAGAATATAGAAGATTAGCCTGTGTCATCAGTATCCTGTGGGCATCGTTAAAAAAGAAAGGAGGGGGTCATGTGTGGTTTGCTCAAGTGGAGGGTGGCTGAGTGGTTTTTGCTACTAATAAATAAATCACAGTGCATCCAAACAGAGCTACATGTGCAAGACATACGTTTAAACAGAACTTTACATCAAAACCTGTAAGAAGCCAACTAATTATCTAAAACATCCAGCCCAGAAAGTCGGCCAACTCTATGCCTGAACTGTAAGAAGTCAGACTTCTATCTCAGGTGATGGCCCAGAAAGCCAAACAACAGCTTCTGTAGCAATTTGTCCAAAATGAGCAGGATAAGATGAATAACGGCCATCTTCCCTAGTTTTTGTTCCCACTTCCAACTCAGGAACAACCAGAAAAAGCCAAATATGTACTCCTAACCAATCACACAGAACACCTGTTGCTAGATAGTTTTTCCCATGCCAAAAGCCTCCAGTCAGAGTACAGATGAGGCCTCCCTTCCTTTTTTCCCACTGTAAAGCTTTCCTCCTCCCTCTGCCTGCCTCTGAGTCATGCCAAAGCACAAATGACACGGTCGACTCCCTTGATACAGAAAATTCTGAAGAAATAGTTTTTGCTTGTTCTCACTTGGTTGATCTTTATTTGCTTCCACAGAATTTGATAATGAACATAAAATGTCTAGAACAAAATGTAATTACTATGCCCCAGACAATCTGAATCACTAAAGGAAATGTGAAAAGACAAAGGCTTAAAGCCTTCAGGAACTAAAAACTGTACAGTTTACATTAAAATATATATTGTGGGCCCTCCCTGGTGGCGCAGCAGGGTTAGCACTAAGAAGCTAAAGCCACTTTAGCATGAGTTCGATTCCTGCCAGCCCCAGAGGTGATCCACAGGGTGCAGCAGACCTCTCCTGACCCGCCCACTGCTCCCCTCAGCAGTGTGCTTCATCAATCTGCCTGTTCTGCTCCCCACTCTGTCTCTGGTGAATCCTCTCACCATCCCTGCACCTCTGGCCTGTACCCCAAAAGCCTGCCTGAGAATCTGGTTTCTAAAGAAACAGCTTCAAAAGTGGAAAATCAGACTAAAATCCAGCCTCCTACCCAAACTGTTTTTGCTTTACTGCATTAGAAGCAATGCAAGTGGTGTCCGACTTACGTTTGTATATTCTGAAGAGTCTCCTGATTGAGCATTCAAAGAAGCTGCAAGAAGGACACAGACAGTTCAAAGCCTATGATTAAAGTCGATTCCCATTCATAAGGGAGTCTTGAATCCACCTTGTAATCTGCAGGAGTCACACCTCCTCCCTTTCCCCTGGATCCCCAGCTTTTTGAAACACTTCCCCGGGCAAAAGGATACCCAGTTGTCTGCTGGCACTTCTGCTAGCAGGCTCACAGAAAGAACATTTGCTACAGCCTCTTACTGACCACTTTAATAGCTTTGCTTAAGAAAGAACTTTGAAGTTATGGAACAAAAGTCAGAGAAACAACTCTAAATAATCTTTTCCTCTGAGACTCAAAGTAATTAATGCATCACTTCTAACTGGACTAAAAGTCCCTTTTTCATAGAACCCAGTGTGCCTGACTCACTTGGCATCAATTTCTAATTCCCACACCTGTCCTGCTGGGCCACGGTGTACATAAAAAGCCAAGTCCTGATCCTGCGCTCCAGATAATCTGTTTTAAGGGAATAATAGCCCATAGCGGTGTGTCGCTAAGAAGTGGCTAGGGGTCGAGCCTAAGCGAGAACTTAAGAAGGTTGTTGTACCACAAAGATCACCACCGGCCCAGCACACCATCAAGTTAGCTTCCAGGACAACCGAAGGGGCTCGGGACCACCACCAACCGCTACGCGAAGAGACCCCAAGCTGCTGAGAGCTGGATTTGACCCTCTAGCGAGACCCCTTCTCGGTCACTTCTTCACAGGTCCCCCAAGTCCAGGCCCAGCCTTGAGCGTTACCTGCCAGATCCCCGGTTATGAGCAACAGCAGCAAGCGCAGCAGGACCAGCGCCATCCTCCCTCTCTTGTCTCTCTCTGGCCACTGCCCGCTGGCGGGTGCTGTGAGCCCTAGTGACCTCACTAAGCGCGCAGGACGTGCTGGGAGCTGGGGGCGTGGAGGCGTGGTCCACGTGATGAGTGGGGGAAGGGAGGGAGGGCAGTGGCCAGCGAGACCCAAAAGGAGGGAGAGCGGGGAGGGGCAAAAGAGGGCTGGTGGAGGGGGTGGGGGAGGGCAGGGGAGGGAAGCACCTGTTCACCCCCACACGCCTCCCCACTCCCTCCACCCCAGCCCGCTGAGGAGGGCTTCAAAAATTAAATGCTAAGCATGATGGGGGAGGGGGAGGACTTCTAGAGAGGTCTGGAAAGACCTTTCAAAGGTGGTGCTTGAGGTTTGAATAGAAGCAGGGGTGGAGAAAGTCTGAAGAATGTGGGACAAGTATCCAGGTTGGAAGAGACACAAGGGCAGAGATCAAGAGCAGGAGCCAGCTCTCTGGATGCAGGAGCAATAGACGGGCCATTGTAGCAGAAGCCCTGGGTGAAGGAGAGGAAGGGAAGAAATACAGCCCAAAGCCAAGGGCATGTGATGGCCCACGACAAGGGGTTTGGGGTGTGGATTTGTTCTGATCGCAGTGGAAAGACAGTGGAGGATTTTAAGTAAGGGAAGACAGGTGCTTTGAGATCAGGTCCTGACTCATACCTTAATAGAGTGGATAGAGATGGACAGGAGGTGGGGAAGAGGACAGGGAGCCTCACTGGGTGACTTTGGGAGCAATCCAGGCAAGAGATGACAGTAGCTTAGTGTCACATATTGCAGTGTACTGAGTGAGAAGTGGTTAATTTCAGGGTTCATGTTGAGACTGGAGCCAATGCAGTTGGTGACCTCACCACACACACAGGACAAGAAGGAAAGGAGGAAGGATGCTTCCCAGGACTGTAGCCCTGAACAGCTGGGTGGGGGATGGGGCCATTTCTAACATGAAGAACATCTCATGGAGATGCCTATTAGACATCCAACTGACATATGGGTAAGGCATTTGGAATTATAAATTTAGAGCTGGAAATAGAAATACAGAAGTCATCAACATGTTAAAGGTAGTGAAAGCAACAAACCTAATGATTTGGGAAAGATCAAAGCGAAGATCAGATGAGAGCCCTGGGGTGCTGCTATATTCAGAGATGTGACAAATGTGGCTAAGAAGCCTGTGAAGGAGAAAGAACAACAGGTCTCCTGTGCAGGAGAAAGAACATCAGGTGAGATATCGGGGTTACTGAACCCTGGAGAGGTTCTTTGATCATGTCAATTGCTTTTGCAAGGTTGAGAATTGAGTAGACTGAGCATCATCATGACTTTGGCAAAGTGTAATCACTGACAACCTTGGTAAGAACTATTTCAGAGCAGTGATGGGGTTCAGAGACCAAATGACATGAATTGAAAGATGAGGAAAAAGTGCAGAGAACGGGTAAAAACAACTTTTATGAGTTATGATACAAAAGGGAAGGTGACCTTCAAGGTGACCTGTGAAATATCCAAGATACCCTGTGAGAGTCATGTCAAAATCCCACAATGCCATCCCGCCTTGCTAGGAATCAAAAGGAAGGTCCAAGCTCCCTCCAGACCTCCGACTGCCTCACGCTTCCCGGCCTCACTGACTTCCTGACTCCCACCTTTTGTCTGTGTTCTTGCTATTGCTCTCCCTAATATCGTGTGGCTCCCTCCTTTCCTGGCCTCTGTCTCAAATGTCCCATATCAGAAATGCCTATTAAACACTTACAGTACCTCTTCTTACTCTTTTTGTTTTCCTCCCCCATACAATTATGTCAACTTCATTTTTTTTTAAGCCTCTGATACTTTTCACCCATATTCTCTCCAAAAGGGGAGGAAGTGATGCTTTTTGGCTTATTGCTATATCTCCAGCACCTAAAAGAGTAGCCTGCATGTATTTGTAATTCACAAATATTTATTGAATGAATGAATGAGGAATCCCAGGGAGTTAGAATTCTTAGGTTGTTTAATAGGATGATCCATAGAGTAAAACAAACCACTATAATGCTTCAGTAAAATGACTGGTTAAGAGGGTATAGAGGCCCTCCGTGGTGGTGCAGCAGGTTAAAGCACAGTACTAAGAAGCTAAAGCCGCATGAGTTCCATCCTTGCCTGCCCGGAGGTGACCACATGGTGCTGCAGACCTCTTCTGATCTGCCCGCTGCTCCCCTCAGCAGTGTACTTCATCGATCTGTCTGTTCTGCTCCCCACTCTGTCTCTGGTGAAGCCTCTCACTGCCCCTGAGCCACTGGCCTGTACCCCAGTTCTGTATGCACAAATAAATAAATCTTTAAAAAAAAGAAAAGAGGGTATAAAAATCTTAACTTTGGTGTTACATGCAAGCACTTCTTACAGGATAGCATGACATACTATAGTGTGACATGAATGTAAAGAATTTTGCTGTCGAATAATTGCTCTGCATGTTACTTAACGTGCTCTGAACCTCAACTTTACCTTCCCTTCCTAAAATGGCATTATAATAATAGAATCTTGTATTAGAAAGATAATTACATAAATAATCTGGGATACAATAGGATTCAGGTTTTCCCCCTTTTTGTCCTCTCCGTGATGACTCAGGCAGTGGGAGTAACTTGCCAACTCCCAGGCAACCAGGCACCTGCTCCAACTCAGGTCACATGGGCCATTATATTGTCACAGAGCCCAACATGCCCAGCCTTATGCACGACCTTCTCTATTTCTCTTACCTCTGTACTCCTAGTACCTAGCACTGTGCCCAATACTGACTCAACAAATGTTTGCTGAATGAATGAATCCTTGAAAATATTAAATGGACATCATAACAAGGGAGTAGAACAAAAAGAGGGAGACTTAGAAACCAGGGAACAAGAATTCCAACCCAAGAGAGGAGCAAAGGGAATTAGTAGCAGTAGCTCAGAGCTCTTAATGTGTAGCCAATCTGGATCTGAATAAGCAAGAGGCCCCAGGAGACCTTGCCTACAGGAGGATATAGAATAGGAAGTGTGTCTTAGAGTAACAGATAAAATTTACATGAAAGGTGTAAAGTTGGGCCCTCCCTGGTGGCGCAACGGGTTAAAGCACAGAACTGCAGCCACCGCAACACAAGATCGATCCCCAGCCAGGTGGGTGACCCACATGGCCTGGTAGACCTCTCCTGACCCGCCCGCTGCTCCCCTCAGCAGTGTATTTCAGTCAGTCTACCTGTTCTGCTCCCCACTCTGTCTCTGGTAAAGCCTCTCAACCCCCACCCCCCTTACCATTGCACCTCTGGCCTAAACCCCATTTCTGTATATATAAAGAAATAAGTCTTTTTTTAAAAGAAGAAAAATCAAGAAGAAGCATTAGATAAAAGTCCAGTAATACTCAAATCAGATATAATAAATTATAAAACCCAAACAACTAGTTAGAAGAACACAAGCTTTTAGGAATTGAGGCAAGAGGGTGGGAGAAGGCTCACTGTTGCTTAACAAACTGCACATGTTATGGACTGAATTGTGTCTCCCCAACATTCACGTGGAAATCCTAACTGCTCCCTCCCTCCCGTGCCTCAGAATGTGACTGGATCTTAAGAAAGAGCCTTTAAAGAGGTGGTCAAGTTAGAAGGGAGTCACTCTGTTGGGCCCTGCCTATCAGTGCTCCTTTAAGAAGATATTAGGTTCCAGGGACCACCCTGGTGTCACATGGGTTAAAACACTGCACTATGAAGCTCTCGGTGGCCACTGAAACATGAATTTGATCCCCAGCCAGGGACCTGACCCACATGGTGCAGCAGACCTCTCCTGTCTTGCCCACTGCTCCCTCAGCAGTGTATTTCAGTCAATCTGCCTGTTCTGCTCCCCACTCTGACTCTAGGAAATCATCTCACCCCCCACCCACATCTCTGGGCTGTACCCCAGTTCTTGTATGCATAGATAAATCTTTTATTTTTTAAAATTTATTTGCATAGGTAAATCTTTTAAAAAAAAACAGAAGTAGGTGGCAGGTGGCATCTGGACTCCAAAAAGGGAGGCCTCAGGATAAGTCACCTGAAAATTGCTGGTTACTTAATCTTGGACTTCTAATTCCAGAAATGTGAGAAAACAAATTTCTGCTGCCTAAGCCACACAAGCTGTGGTATTTTTATGGCAACCATAACACACAAATATCACATGAATAAGTAAATTTTAAAAATTAAATTTATAAGTATGTATCCTTTGTTGTTGAAAGAATAAATGTTAAGAAACATTTAGGGATTGATTAGGAGCTTATTGATAAAAGAACATTTATTCTCAAACACATACTCTAGGGAAGCAGGACATTTCCCAAGGCTGCTTAGCTTCTGCCACGTTCCCAGGCCTGCTACTTGGAGGAGTCTGCTGCTTTGATTTGCTGCTTGCTGGTGTGGAGAAGTTGCTGGATGTACTGCTTGTTCACAGGGGTACCCATGGCTACCCTGACCCCCTTCCAGAACAATAAAGATGGTTATGCTATGATGGCTGAGAAGTTTCCTCATATAAATGTAGAAAAAAACCTTTCCACTCCTGCAATTTGGGGCTCAGCACTTTGGGCTTGATCCCATTGAGCCTGCTGCTGAAACAATTAAATGTCTCTCTCTGCACCTCTCTGAGTGATGCCTGATTTCTCTGGGAAATTGCCACAACATTAGTACTCTCCAACAGTACTTTATGCGATACTTCAGAATATCTATTTTCTGGGTTTCTTTCCCCCTTGGGAAGCTCCCTTTAAGTTACAGCTGATCCTCAAATAATGTCATTTCATTCAGTGTCCTGTTGTAATAATGTTGATCATCCAAAATAATCCCAAATGACATTAAATAAAAAGATATATTCCAGGATTAGTTGTTAAAGGAACAATTGCCAAGAACCGATCAATGACATGAGTGAGGACTTACTATATTTATTGATTTCACACAATGACGTCCATAGTTTTTTTTTCTTTAAGATTTATTTATTTGTGCATACAGAACTGGAGTACAGGCCAGAGGCTCAGGGGAGGTGAGAGGCTTCACCAG